GTTTTGCCTGGGGACATCAAAACCGGGAGATTCAGCTGGGTTCCAGGTGAGTCTCTCGAAAAAAAAACAAATTAGTCTGCAAATAAGTGTATATTCGCCAATTTCGTCCAATTTGGTTTCAGGTGGAACATAAGGTTTACGGAAACTCGGGGACTGCGTGTACCTGGTGAGCCCGAACTGGAAGGGCGAAACCGGTCATGGGCTGTCGAGGAGTTTTCAGCAACCTCATGAGTAGTGCATTACAAAAAATATATGTATCGTGATATCTCGAATGTCATCGTAGCGTCTGAAACATGAGGCGGCCTGATGCAGCACATTCAGTCGCCTGGTAACATCACAAACGAGAGATTCTGCTAGGTTCAAGGTGAGTCTCTCGAAAAACAAAATTAGTTTGCAAATGAGTGTATATTCGCTAAGCCCATAACCAGGTTATTCCATCCTGAGGGTCATCTATTGGTTTCTGTCATTACCATTTCCTGCTTGCACAAATGTAATCGATGGAAAAGCTAACTGGGTAAGGTTTGTTACCGTGGCTTGCGTTGGGTTCACCTCCAAGTTGCCTTCCCCTACGAGAATCACCTAATGGACACTTACCTATATTTAAGGACCTCTAAGGTCGAATGGTCTAAGCCACTGTTTGACATTGAAGATATCGATTCTAGTGCAGTTGCATTCTGCTCTCGTGACTGTTTCGTTGACTACGTCACACGTGTGCAAAACTATATTATTCGTATACGAACTGCGTATAGTCCGATAGCTCCAATAATCAATCACCTTGCAAGATCCTTGACCTCCCGGATCTTACAACGTCCCAACCGGGCCGTGTACTTTATTTTCTATGCTCAAAATGAATCCGTATACCAAACCTGCAAGTCTGAAGCAAAATACAATTTGATACACCCTAATAATCGGACGTCGGTTTGCTGTTCAAATCAGCCAATGAGTATTGAGTGTTCCGACTATATCTGTTATCGATCATGTACTGACGGTCACACATTACTTAGTAATCAAGCGCTCTGGAAAGAAACCACAGAAGCATGAATGCAGTTTTGACGTCCGACCAAACTGCCTGAATTGACTAAGTGCCCTGTAAGATATGACCTCAGATAGAAAAAAAGTACCAAAAGAAAGGATGGAAGTAACCTTGGTCGAACTCGTCGCCTCATCCACAGAGTGTTCGTATCCTGGGGAAAAGTACGATCATGCATCACGTTCGGTGAACGGCTCAAGTGGATTTTTCTGATGCTGAGCATCTGATCATACAGTCCAGCCTCGCTCACTCAGACTGAATGAATCAGAGCTACATACGTGCCAAAGTACGACATGTTCTCGTGCAGCGTGAAAACCGCCCGGTCGACCTTGAAATTTACCGAATCTTGGGAATAGTTAGGAGAGTTCTTACCTAACCGAGCAGATCAGTGCCACACACAACGGTGTAATCAGCTGACTCTTTGAGAAGGCTCTTCATGCCTTACGTTCTTATTCACCGTATCCAGGCAGCCTTAGAAGACCGTAATAAAGACCTTTTCAGTCGTGACGGAGCACACTACTCATAAGGTTGCTGAAATCGTTTTCACAGCCCACGACCGGTTTCTCCTAGTTCATCAGGTAGACCTAGTTCCTGAGTTTCCATTAGCCTTATTTTCTACTTGAACGCCGAAATGACGGACAAGGTTCCCTCATTTGCAAGTTACCTTGGTTTTAACGGGGGACCCAAATGAATTCAAGTTGAATCTCTCGTTTGTGATACTGTTCAGATTAATGCGTTGCACAAAGGCCCACTCGACATCCGAGCATGTTTCTTTCACATAAGATACTCCTCGCCGTCAAAGTGATTGCAGTAGCCTTATGAGACAGTGTGCTCCGATATCTCGAATAACGTACCAGCTGGAACATGGGATTACTTTTGTGAGAATAGAAAAAAGATGATGTACAGTTTTGGTTTCAAGTGGCTCAGTGGTTAGAGCGCAAATTTACTGACCGAAAGGTCCGTGGTTCGAACCCGAATTCTGCCTCTCGACTTCCCCTGTCTAGGCTTGGGCAGCCTGGTAATATCCCAGCCCTCGTGCCTCCTTCCTGTGGCAGGACAGCCGGGCACCGAAAGGGTACTACAGCTGAACGATTTCACCTAAAAGAACTCATTTATTCTCCTGCCTCCTGAAGGCTGCACAGAACGCATCTCTGACGTGAGCCAACTGCTTCCGGATAATCACACCACGTGGTCTGGGTGCGCAGTTGGTTAGATGACTCATCCACTTACTGACAGTGACGAAACGTTTCCAGGCCAGTTGCCAACCCTATGAGAAAAACAGATCAACTCTCATCGGATTGGGTGTCAGTTGAACTACAACATTGCCAAATCTACGACCTCTACATACAAAATTCCAAATTCAAGCTCTTCCTACATTAAACTACAAGCAAGTTTAACCAGCCCTGAATCCTTTCATCCAACTGACTCCTGTGGTTGGATCGTCAGGTTCAAGGTTTCGAACGACTGGAGGGACTGTTGGCAGAGAACACTTGAAATTTCGACTGACGGTGTTCAAAGCTCCTTTTTCCGAAAGTCTCACTGGCTTTA